TTTGTCCGCGTTGATAAAATTTATCGTGTCCCCGCATGCAATAGCGGTATAATTTCCGAATACCCACGTTAATCCGATTGTCCGGGAACGAAGAAGAGACCCTCGCGATTTCGTACTTATCTATACTATTGCCTTATCAAGTGCCGTGTAACCTCAAGTGGAATACGGGAGTACTCAGAGACTGCGTATATCTGGACTTCATGAATTATTTAGCGGTCCGCTAGTATAGTAGCGCGTTTGAAGCTATGCGGTTCGGAGACCCAATTTTCATAATTATAATTTCGATCATAATATAACATCTAGATTAAACGTATGAACTCGCCGTATTCAATTTTCAATTGCACGCTGCATATTTCATACGCTTTGACTTTGCGAGTTACTTAAATTCTCAAATTAAAACATTAATTTTTTAATGTTCTTTTTTTTTATTACAAATTAACAATCTGATTAGTGCAATGTTTTTGCTGCTTTATAGCTGCATTAGTCATAATTTTGTTTTGGCGAACGGCAATTGCGAACGAGAGACAGGATTTTTAATTAGAGCGTAATCTGCATGAATTAATCCCTCATCTCATAAATTAGCCAATATAAATTTGCAAAAATTATTCGACCCAAAAAACATAAAAGACTTGTTCTTTCCATCAATCTTTTCGTTCTTTTCTTGCGAGCGTTCACATAATAGCCGGTGCTGTAAATATTTTTGCATTTATAGAGAGTTAAATATCAATTTGCATTTGCGCGCGGTTTAACCTGCGGTGCCTCATACATAAATAGTGCGAGAACATGAAAGCGCAGGAACCTGTAGCTTTCGTGCGACCGTAGCGTTAATAAGTAACGCGATGTTGGCACGATGGCGGTTAAGAATAATGTTGCTTTTCAACCTCATCGGAAGCAAACAGGTTAATGCTTTTCTCTAGGCTCGCTAACATCGCCCAGCTTTAATAAATACAGAAATAGGGTTCTTTTGTACGCGAACCGGCGCGTCTGCCTCTCGCTTTACATATTTAACGAACGGATTTATACCGGCCGGGTTTTCGGACCAGATCCGGATTCTCGCGTTTCCTTCCGCCGAAGTCGGGGCACGCTCGATTAAATTTCCAGGATCGGCTGTCTTTGGTATAGATCGTGCGACGGGTTTCCGGCCGGCGAGTCCTATAAACACTTCGTGCCTGGCAGACATTTGTCATACATAGGACACCGTTACGGAGCCCTATTACCTGCCGACTTTGCTTTGCAGATGCGGCGAGATTTGCATGCGCCAGCGTAAAGGAAGTATGAGGCTTGATAAGAGCGGGGGAGCGCGAGGGCACGGAGGATCTCGCAAGCGGATGAATTTTAAAGCGACAACGCTGAGCGAATTGCATTCCTACAAATCTGGAATGCGAAAAGAAGATAAAAGGATAATGAATTTATGGTTGATGAGACACGAATGCGATCGAACGCACTAATTTCCATCGAAGCTTCGAAATTACTCGATCTCTTCTGGTATCCGTATAATTGGACTTCCATCCACAAACTAGTTTCAACTTTGAATAGCCCTATGGGATGCCGTTACGACACGAGAAAGTCATTACATCCGGAACTGAACAGTAGCCGGAAGCAGATTTTTTCCTAGACCCAAGAGACTTGCGTTCCGAGGCGTAAAAGTGCAGAGTTATCGTCCGCATTTATATTAACATTTTGATTATCAATTGCGATGTTAGTTTCTGAACTAAATTATGTAATATTTTTCCATTTTTTCTTCTTTTCGTCAATTTTAAGATTGATAACGTCTAATGAGAAATTCAGGACTACATTACTTTTAAATGTACAGTATATCGGAAATAATATACTTACAAAATAATTGTTACGTAACAAACCTAAATGATAGTCGGTCTTTTGCGCAGTACACGTATGGCGAGATTACAGCAACGACACGATAATTAATCAAAGAAATGATCGGGGTCAGATTCAGGATACTCGTTTTCTGCTACCTCGATTCACAACCTGAAACTGCAAAATATTCTGTTAGAATAATAGAATTGTAACTCGCGTCATCCGCATGAATTAGTAAGAATTAAGGCACCACTCTAAAAATTATCGCACTGATGCAAAATGTGGACGAAGTTTTAAATTTTTCATAACACGTTTACAGTGGCAGCAAAGTATTAATAGAATCTACGAGGTGGGATACGCGATATCGTTGGTTGCGCTATTGCTTTCCTTAGGAATTCTCACGTATTTCCGGTAAGTTAAAAATTTATCGTCGTTATTATCCTCGCTATTTCGACAGTGAATTATAATTTGTAAGCGCGCTGCAAGTATATTAATAGCAGAACTCTTTAATTACTTTGGGAATATTTTACGTTCTAAAATATTCTATGTTCAAATTAAATTATCTAAAAATTTACAATTTATTAATTTGAACGAAAAATGTGATACTTTCGTTAGGAGAGATTCGATAATAAATTTTAGATATTTGAAAAGTTGGCAAAGATTAAAAAAATTTTAAAAGGTCTAAAAAAAGTACATAATTTGAATTGGTTTCTGGAAATCTTAAGACGTTAATTATATTTTATCAATAATCAATTTAATAATAAATAAATGTTAGACGTTGCTGAATTTGTGCCATCGCTAAAAATACTTGTTATAAACCACTGTCTGCTCGAGCTATTCACAATTTAAGCAGTGATCCAATTTAGACGGATATCCCTTATTCATCCCCTCCCTC